TGTAATATCATCGAAGCGAGGAATATCGACGAATTTGGACAGTCAAAAACGAACATTATTGATGACGCCCACGCCGTCTGCGAAAAAGCGACTCACCTTGCTAAAGATGCCTATTAAAGATGACGCGGACCGACAAGCTGCCAAGAGCGAATGAGGGACTCGATACTGCGTGCCGATTAATTAACAAGGCTAATTGGATCTCTTGCTTCCTTGGTAAAACGGTAATTAATTGGATTCGCGGATCGATGATTGCTCGCTCGCTTGCATGCGATGAAGTGAGTTCGCTATCGCAGTTCATGCAGTTATTGCCTCCGAACATCACCGAACGAACGAACGAACGAACGAACGAACGAACGAACGAACGAACAAACGAACGAACGAACGAACGAACGAACGAACGAACAAACGAACGAACGCCGCAAAGAGATTCGCGAGGTCATTCGATTGGCAATACCTCTTTGGCCGTTCATCTCGCACCGAGGCCACTTCACTCTGATTCGTTGATCTTGATTTATGGATTCCCGATGAAACTTAGTCTATGATCGAGTTAAATCTTGTATCCAGCTATGCGGATTTCAAGCGCGTATCGATACCTGACTTTTTGGAAAAACTCCAATCAACAAACTAGCCGTGACTGTGCCCTCAAGTTACGCTTCGACTGCTACTATCATTAAATTTCAAAGATACCTCCTAAGTAGAAGGAAACAAGGCAATCTATCGACACGAAATAAAGTAAAGCAAATTATGGTTTAACTTTAACATTGAAGCTATCAAATTAATTTATATTACAATATAAAAATCATCTTAAATTTATAATAAATTCTTTGATATTAAATTTGTTTTCTAAAACGTAAAAGTAAGAAATTAAAAAATAAATTAATATTAATATAGACAAAAGAAAAAATAACTTTCCTGTGTTTTTCTTTTAAAAAAATAAGTCAATGTCTTTATTTTTCTCTACTCTATTTTCTTATTTTTTTCTTATGGCTGTTAAGCATACCTTTATATTGCTTAAGGACAAAACTTACTTGGAAAATGAGTTGTCACTTTCTTATTTTTCACGCCCTGTCTGCGAAGAATAAGATGAATTATGCTTTTCTTTAACATTGCTCGAGAAATAATACCTTTTTGATATAATAATAAATCGTTATCTATCTAACATTCTTCTGCATATTCTCAATTTAGTTTATAAAGAAACCACAAGTGTTATTTAAAAATATTGTTTTCTTAATTATTTCCTCATATCAACCGCAATTTGTAATATACAATTTTTTATTTATATATTTATCAAATGATTATAAATATCACAAAAATTTTAATAAAAAAAGAAAATATACTTAAGCTTTTAAAAGAGCAAAAAAAAATTATACATCGATTAACGCATTCATCTCTAAAAGATCATATTGATAATAATAATGATCATTAAATCGAACTTAAATATCTAAAATGACATTTAATGAAAAAAAAATAATAAGCGATTATTATCGTAAATTATAATATGTTTTTGTCGCATGCCGGTATTATATAATACATGATTACGGCAGATTATCTCATCGATGTAATATATTCATATAACCTCATCCTTCATACATAACCTACGATACCACTCACCGACGAAGACTTTTTCTAAGAATTATGTCAAACGGGAAGAACATAAATCGAAGATAGCCATACGCGCTACTCCACATGCGGACCGCGACCGCGCCGAGGTCAAGGCACTCGGTAGTTCACCATATTGCTGCCCGCATCGGACAGCACGGGCACTACCGGCGACATCCCGTTCTCCATTTTCTTCCAAGAATATTCGAAACTATCAATCGATGCGATGCCCAAGTACGACTGTCACGGAGAACGACGGACGTCGCTCGCATCTCTCGTTCGCACCTCAACCATCCCTGACCTGACCTAGGCAACCCCGCCGTATCGAATGACCTTCCTCGTGTCAAAGAAAACTGATAGTAACAACCGGAAAGTAGAGAAAACGGAAAGCGTGCCACACGTTGCTCCGCCACACTGTGCCGCAACGGGACCACAATCAAGATGGTCGGCACAACAATTTTACCAGTTATCGTCGCGATTAGGTCACGTCGACGATGACGCCGGATGGATCCCGCCGGCAACGGTCCCTTACGTTTGCGAGGATCGCGGTCGATGATCCGCCGGCAGACGTTCAATGGGGGGACGAACTTGAAAGACGAGACACACCACCACGGCCAACTGCGACCACCACCTACACGTCGTTTCACGGGATGTGGTAACGGGTTGGCAGGACGTAGCGGCGGCGGCGGCGGCGGCGGCGGCGACAGCAGCACTAGCACCACCACTACCACCGGCGAGGGTTGTGCTCTCAGGGACCCGGCGGTTTCCTCCCTCGGATATATCGGCCGAGACTATGTCACCGCGACTTGTCTACGAGACGAGTGACGCCGTACTTCTCGCCCGCGACGCGACTCTCGACGACGAAGGTCGCGATCGATCGGTACTTTTTGAAAAAGACGTCCGCATGCGAGAGGGACGAGTATAGAAAACGGTGAGGTACAAACCACCACCACCATCACCACTACGACCACCGCGGCCGGCTACACCTCGTTTCACACGTCGGTGCACCAGCAGCAGCCGCAGCAGCAACAGCAGTGGCAGCACCATCAGAGAGGAGTACGATACGTCGCTGGGACGCCCGGAGAGTCCCGGCTATACCATCCCCCCGTCCCTCCCACTTTACCACCCTTCCCGGCGTCTTCCTCTCTCCTTCTATCTTCCCTTCAAATGACGTCACGGGAATGGAGTCGGGGATCGATCCCGAACGCCCACCTCCAGGCCCGCATCCTCTCTCTCCCGAACGGTACTGACCGGATAGAAAACATTCGACCGCTCCCTCGGCGACCTCCAGCGACCCCCCTCCCCCTCCCCCGGATGTACGTACGCAGCCGGTGCCACGCATTACGCAACGGAAGGGCGCGGAAGGGCGTAATTCCTCGCCGGATGCAGCGCACCGACAATCTCGCGGTTGCAGCCGTGAGTTGCACTCCGTAAAGGGATGAAGTGGTGCGCGGAAAAATGGAACAAGGATAAACAAAGGGATGAAACTATACTATGTTGAAACATAAGTTTCGCATAAGAGAGACATTTTGGACCGACCCCCCCCCCGCCAATAATTTTTGAATTCTCGAATAAAAAAGTATCATTAAATGTTAATTATTTTCTATGCTTGGGAAGGAAAGTGTTTTAAGGAAAATTTTTTCAGGAAGTCATGCCTTTGTTATTATTATCGATCGAATACTTAGGTGCAAAAATTTATTTATTAAGTATTTGCATTAAACGTCGTGTGTTTTACCTTCGCGTGTTTCTAATATTTGTTTGCACATTTTGTAAATTTTTTCAAGAAACAGAAATGTCTTTTCCTACAGTATTCTGTTATATAAAAAAAAAAATGTATTACTGTGATGTAGTTAACAAATGATAGTACTACATAAAAAGTCACGAACGAGGTATTTCTTTCTCACAAACAAAGTTTGTAATTTTCCTATTTATAAAATTAATATACTCCCCTTTATAAGGAAAAAAAAAAATTATGCTCTGAAAATTATCAAATATATCTGATTAAAACTCAAAATATTTAAATTACATATTTATTTAAAAAACTATTACTTTTATTAACTGTACTCGTTATTAATTACTTTAAGAAACAGAGTTGTATCAAACATTAAATCGATACATCTAAAATCAAACTGTCAAACTCGCTAGATGGTCCCACAGCTCTAACATGAAGTTTTTGCATTACTCTGCGAGATATGTCGATAATTCAAAAAGAAAAAAATTAGACAGTTTACAGAAACGATTGTCTCTATTGTCTTTTCTTTTGCCAAGTATATCGATTTTATATATGTCAATAGTTTCATTCAATATAACAATATATTGGACCATAACAATATATTGGCACATGTAAATCCAATGACTAATAAAAATATATAAATTAATTAACCAGTTTTGTAAAATCAATCATTTATGTAAAAACCAATTATTGTATCATTAATGCGAAAGTTAATATGCCAGATCGTTGTTTTGTTCTCCGTTATATAAGGCCGATGCATGACTCCCAATTCCAAACATCGAACATTCAATCTGCATCTACGGGTCTCGGTTAATCTGCATAGATATTGCGCCGTGCAACGCGCGCGTGGAAATTCGGCAAACTGCTATTCTACTTCGCCATCAGGAATTCTTTTGTCCCCGGAAATCGCTTGTGCGCCAGCCAGTTCGGCATTCAAGTGGCATTAAAGGAAGGATAATATCCTCAACCGTCGTCTTTTGATCCCCGATTTTTCGTCGCTTCGTCTCAGAGATCTGGCGAAACCGACGTTCGCGTGCGGGCTGAAATAAAAGGAAAAAGAAATGCTGCTACCCCCTCCCCCC